CTCCTCACCCTCGTGGTAATGCTGGTCATTGTGTGTAGCATCTTCGTCGTTGTCGCCCGCACAATTGTTACCATCCAACGTATAATGCATTTTCGTGTTTTTATCTAAACTGCTTCCAATATCTGTAGCGTGGTTTCGCGTGCTCACCATTTCGTCTTCCTCACCGCCTTCAACTGCACAGTATTCCTTAGAGACACCTTCCCCCTCACCACCTACTCCTTCACCACCTATTCCTTCACCGCCTACTCTTTCACCGCCTACCGCTTCGCCGCCTCCCCCTTCTCCATCTGCTTCTTCTCCTTCCCCTTCGTCTTCCTCCTCTGCCTGCCTCACGTCATTCTCCTCCTCGAATTTCTTGTTAACACTTTTGAGAGCTCCAAAATTGAGGCTTCTTAGATTACTTGCTGCGTTCACCATTTTGGGCATTCACCGGCTCATCTTTCGATGTCGTTTCGTTTCGCTCTGTTTTGGTGTGTTTTGTTCCGACTGGGGGCCTTCGCGAGGGAATCGCCGAGTTGGTGTAGCGTAGTTGTTCAGATGTATACGCTTATTTGGCGCACGTATTCGCAGATCTACCCCGGGCCTGTACGCAAGGTTATGCGCTACTCAAATACACGTCGGTACTTAAGCATGTACCATATACATATACGCATAGGTGGTACGGAGGGGAAGGACTTGGCACCGCAGCTGCAACCACGAATGGTAGTTTCAACCTCTGTTCTTCCTCTCCTTTTTTCTTTTTTACAACAAAAAAAAGGGTTCTAGAAATTAGGTTCTAGAAAAATGGGTTCTAGAAATTGGGTTCCAGAAATTGCGTTCTAGAAATTGCGTTCTAGAAATATGGGTTCTAGAAAAATGGGTTCCACGAATTTAATTGATTTTCTTTAATTGTTGGAGTTCACTCCGCAGTCAGAATTGAGCTGCTCATAATGTTATACTACGTAACACTACTCTGTTATTGTTATTATTGTTAATTTTTTTTTCTTTTGTTATCATGAGTATTTCTATTATTGATATATTTTTTACTAATATTACTGCTCTATTCTTGGTATTTTTTTTTTTTTCCATCTTGGTTCTAATTTTACCCACGCGCGGATCGCAAACTGCTTAACGGAAATTTTTTTTCTGCGGGCAATAGAGGGGTACGTACGTCGGTATTTATCTGTACATGTATATACTTATATATGTATGTATACATATATGCGACGCCCTCGTTTTCTTATTCTGCGCATCGGTACGAATACACAGTTCTCACTACCTTCGCAACCACTTTTTCTGTTGGCGAGACTGGATTATTGCACTATGCACTTGAGGTATATAAAAGTACGGTTATACATCTAGGACTTCTAACACGCCCACTACGCATGTAAAGCTGCCGTGTACGTGTTACGCATATGTCAATAAAATATAATGCGCGCTTCAGCATGGCACAGGTAGGCATATCTCCTCGCACATGTTTTGCGCTTGAATACCTTATGTGGTGTTTTGCCACTGGCAATCTTCGGTTTAGATTTTTTTAAGGCATATATGTATGTATATACCTACGTTTTAGGAATCAAGTCAAAAACGTTGGCACGACCGCTACGTTCTTTATGTTTGGGTAGTAATCTTTGCCAAGTTGTATAGATAATATGGCTACTGCTTTATTTATAGCCCACGCATCTAGGGGAGCATAAAGCAAAAATTGTTTCGTTTAGTTACCCCTAAATGGCGCCCACTGGAGACATTCACGTACGCACAAATATAAATATATTTACATATATTCTTATATATCTAATCTTTTACTATTATCTTTTTTTTTTCCAACCTCTTTGTGTTTTCCTAACATTCTGTATTTTTTTCTTTTTTTTTTTATTAATTAGTTGTTCGTTCACAATAGTTAAACGGTACTTACGTACTTAGGTCAAACAAAGTTGGTAACGGGTAAAGCGTTGAATCTACACAATGAGCGAATGTATGCATATGGAGTCAGGCATGTTTATGTGGTGAAATATAAGCATGTGGGTGTTAATAGATGTTGGCTAAAATAGATGTACGTTTTGGTGCACCATAGAGGAGGAGCAATCTGTACAGTCTTTTTTAAGTTACAGAAACTGCTCCACTTTTTAGATCCACGTGGAGTACCACATATGTGTATCTATTGGCAGGGAAAAACTTAAAAAAAAAATCTACTCAAAGAAGGTACAGAAAAAAGGTACTCAAAAAAGGACTTAAAAAAGGCCACAATAGAGGCCACAAAGAGGCTGCTGAAATTGATGACAATTTGTACAGGCAAACTACACGCGGAAAATAAGAAAAGGGCGAGAGGGTGGCATGAATCGATGAACGTAGTTAACTTATCATACTGTGTGATGCATGCATACCCTGTATATGTTCTACGTAAGAGTAGCAGCTGGACCAGTGGCGGTGGTCGCTTGGTTGCAATTCGAAGCGACAACTGTGCTTGCCGCAGAAAGGGCAGTTCTTTACAGGGGCATAAATAATAATGCACGAAAAAACAACAGAATAAGTTTTCAAACCGTTTGCATAGTACATCCAATGTGGCATATCCCACAAGTGGGTTCATTCAAGGATGGGCAGATGCAGTTCGGTTATCACCCTTTTTCGTAAATACGATGTTGTTACTCTCTTCTTTTTTTATTTGTAAAAAGTGCATATATCACTGTGTCACACACCGGGGCGAAAAAGGGACGACACTTTTTATGTACACACGGAAAAGAAAAAAAAAAAAAAAAAAGCAACATATATGTGTATTCTTGCTATCACAGAATGTGTATAGATGTGGGCACTTATACATCTATTATAATCAGCAGCTTCAGCGTATATTTCATTCGTTTTAATGGTGTAACCAGGTACGGTTGCAGGGCAGTATGTAGGTACGAACGGGTGCACCCTCTTTCGCGCATGCACCACATATAAACATACGTCCCAATCACACAAGTTAATTTATGCCTCCTAACTCCCGCTCATTAGTATGTAACTCCTCGGTAAAGTACATGTGCGCATGAATCGGTGACTCCAGTTGTTAACTGCGAGTCTTACAGCATGTGTATACATACATGCATACATAAATATTACAATCAATTTGGTTAAATAAAAAAAAGGAAATCAGGTAAACCATAATTCAACTCGCTCAGTGTATAAATAAATTTGTGCATATGCAACAATTTATATAATAACAAAATGGCTTGAATTCTTATGTACACTCTTTTGACTTAAAATGGTAGAGTAGAAGGAAAAAAAGAAAAAAAAAAAAATTTGATGTAGGTGTGAATCTTAGGTACTACATGACGGAAGAACTACCTACTAGTTAGGTGAAGATTTCAGAAGAAGGCACATGTAAAGTAAACTGCACTCGGGTAGTTTCTCTTTTTTTTTGCTTTCTTTTATAGTTGATGAGAAAGTGACGTCATATGTGTGGAAATATCCACCGCTGTATGCACCTACGCCTATATGTACCAGCAGGTGCGAAGTCTCGCAAATGCACAGAATTGCAATCGCTAACCTCGGAAGAATGTACGTGCTGACGTATATGCCTATGCACCCACGTGGGCATACATATGGATGGCATACTTAGTTGCACAGGGTATCCCTTCTGTCGTGTAGGAGAGCAATTATCTATTTCCCACCACCACCTCAATTTCTACGCATGAAATTACAAAACTGAAAAAATTACCCTTCAAGTGCTTCTTAAAAGGGTACGCATAAAACGGACCGAAAACAAAAACTGGGGGTAGAGTAGTAGACCACGGGATGCATATAACGCCCGGTGAAGTAAAAAAAAAAAAAAAAAAAAAAA